GGCATTGTGGGAGCATGTAAAACATTTATAGGACCTTTGACTTAGAGATAAACTAGGTTGTCTCCCTAATTTTACAGAGGAGGAAACTGAGGGTCAAGAGAAGTGAAATGGCTTGCCTAATTACAGCTGGTTTGTAACAGATTTGGAATTAGAACCCTCGACTCTATTCCAGTTAAAGGCCTTTTATAGCTAAATTACAAACCTTTGTTATGCCTTGAGTCCCTAGAAGATGATATATGTGGATATAATTTGCGGATTCTTATTTTTTTGTCTCTGGCTCTCAGCATGTAGTGCCAAGGCAGAGTGCTATACATTACTTACATTCTGGGTGGCGCACACTTGGATCAGATTCACAGTCTTTTTAATTTTTTTAAATTTTTATTATTTTTTAAATTTTCGTTTAAAATATTACAGATGTCCCTTTTCTCCCCAATGACCCGTTTCCCCCTGTCCCTTCCCCCTTCCCACTTCCCAGTCCCTCTCCCCACCATTGGTCCGTGTCATAGTCTTCTTTTCTTAACTCATGTAATGGAGCATGACCTTTGGGTTCTGAGTCTGAAGAGAAGCTTCCTTTTCTTAGCTGACAGCTCTGGCAGATTTACTTGCGTTCTATCCCATTTTTGTGGAAAGGATGGTTGAGTTCTAACCTGGGTTTTAAGGAAGCAGAGAGAATGCTCCATGGTGGACTAATCCATACTTCTCTCTCCTGGCCTTTTTTCAAGCTTGACATTTTTAGATTTCACTATACCTTGTTAATTGTTCATGCTGATAGCATTGCCAGCAGTTCTGCCCCAGTGGAGCCTGAGTGCTGGATTCAAAGTGAAATCAATGAAGGGCCGGTGATGATGTGGTGATTGCTGGTGGTGAATCATGAAGCTGCAATTTGTTTATTTTTTATTTTATTTTTTTCCTTGAAGCCGTAGTTTGAATGAGAGGGTTAAGATTTTGCACCTGGGACAGCTGAGTTAGGTAGGACATCCCTTTGAATTCTGAACTGTGGCTTAGGCCTGCACATAGGCTTTCTGTGGAGATAACTTTTGCATGCATTTTTTGCTTGGGTGAGACCTTACTTAACTAATAAAGAAACTGAGGCTTATTGGTGTGACTTAGCCATAAAGAAACACTTTTTCCCTTCAACTAGACAAAACTGCCCCAGGGAATTCTTGTTACTTTACTCTTTGCTTCTCCTTGCAGGGTGGAAGGTCACCACCATTAGAATTTTCAGGCGCCAGCCTGGTTGACTAACCTAATGGAGTAAAATAGTTCCAGCTCTGAGTAATGGTGAACTTGGAGCAGGGCCCAGTGAAACTTAGTCCCGGGAGTAAAAAATTTGATGTTGGTCTTCATTCATTTCAAAGAAGAGGCTTGTTGGTGGGAATATGATATATTCTAAACAAAGAAAAATAGTGGCTCTAGAGATTTATGCCATTGCCTTGAAGATTGTTTCGTTCCACATTAATTTTAGATAATTCAGTAAGAGAAAAGTGTTTCTTAGTAGATGGCATTGCTGAGCAGGGTAAAATTTAGGGTGTTTCTCTGTTTATGAAAAGACTGTCCAATTGGGTTACATATAAATTATATAATTTCCAGTACAGTTAAAGACTGTTTGAACTCTTAAGACTCAGATTCCCTAAAAGACTACAGATTATGTGGCCTTTAGGTATCCCGTCTTTTCCTGTTCCTGCTCTTTTGTAATCTGTTTTTTTGCCCCCCCTGCGTGGCTCAGAGGTTGAGCATCGACCTATGAACCAGGAGGGCAAGATTCGATTCCTGGTCAGGGCACATGCCCGGGCTGTGGGCTCCATCTCCGTTGATGACTCTCTCTCACCATTGGTGTTTCTATCTCCCTCTCCCTTCCTCTCTGAAATCAATAAAAACATATATTTTAACAAAGAACCTTCTATATATTTATATTTATCAGATACATGATTTGCAAATATTTTTCTCCTACATATTTTTCTCTTTGGCTTTTCTTTTCATTTTTTTAATGGAGGCTTTTAAAGTACAAGTTGTTAATTTGAATCAAGTTCAATTAATCTTTTTTTTCTTTTTTTATGGATCATGCTTTTGGTATCATACCTAAGAAAAGGTTTTATTAAAACCACTTTTCATGCAATTATGAGGCTTACTTTATTTTCATGATTAGTTTAGTCATCAGACATGTTTATTGTGTGAGCTTGTTAAAATGCATAAGGACTAAAAATAAATAAATGATAAAATAAAATGCATAAGGACTTTCCTCTGGGCAATGGTCCCATTGTTCCAGCCTCGTCTGGGCAGCTGTTACTGGAGAGGCAATATAATATTGATCAAAAGTGTAGGCTTTGGGGCCTGACTGCCTGGGTTTGAATTTTGGCTTCATCCTTTCCTAGCAGGGGTACTTCGGGAAAGTGGCTTTATTTCTCTGTGCCTCAGTTTCCTCATCTGTAAAATGTGGATAGTACTACTTCCCTCATGAGGTGTTTGTCTATATAAAGTACACAGGAAATACCTGGAACAGAGTAAGGGCTCAAAAAATATTAGCTCTTATTACCAGGGGAGCAGTTCTCAACTGTGATTAGGCATGGAGTTGTCGTATTAGAGTCATTTGAGGGGAGGCTTTTTAATACTTTAGTCTAAAGTGACAGGTTGGAGCAGCTGGGGTGATAGGCATTCCTTGACACATTTAAAGCTGATTGTTCCTTAAAACCACCCTCATTACGTGAGACAATTTAGGTTAATGTATAGAATCACAAACTCATCATTAGATATAAAAATAGCTCACCCTCCATTAACACTTAGAAAATGAGTAATCTATTAACCCCTGTTGCCAAGGCAAAAATTAAGCAACGTTTGGCAAAACAAGAACAGTTGGTTGGAGTGTAGTCCCATACTCAAAAAGGTTGTGGGTTCGATTCCCAGTCAGGGCACATACTCAGGTTGTAGGTTTGATCCCTGTTCAGGTGCGTTCGGGAGGCAGCCAATCGATGTTCCTCTCACATCAGTGCTTCTCTCTCTCCTCCTTCCTGTCTTTCTAAAATTAGTACAAATAGATCCTTGGATAAGAATTAAAAAAACATTAGTGAGCTAAGATAGTAGTTCTGTGATCTCTGTATAGGGAAGCTCAGTTAATACGTTTTTAAAAAAGGGGAGAAATAAGAGTATATTCATGGGTATATTTACCTTTTTGCTTCCCAGAGACAAAAGTTTTAAAGTACAAGGAATGATGATGCCAGAAAAGGATGACCATATCTGATGTGGCAACTCTGTGTCTGGATATCTCTCCAAATTCATTTTTCACTCATCTCTTTGCTTGGGAGAACTTATTCTTAACAAAATATTTTACCTGAAAATACTGCAGTGTGTGCAAAAATAGAAAGAGTGTTTTTTATATTATAAAAAGTATGTTACTCTCTGGGGAAGCCCACAAGAGGCCCAGTTGTCCTGGAACTGACAAAGTTGATAAGGAGCAGAAGATATTCTTAGAATCCACATTCAGATGGTATTCTGTTTTTCTTGGGCTTGCTATTCTATTAGGCTACCAGTTTCTTTAAAAAAATTTTTTTTTTATCAAGATAAAATGTATGTAACATAAAATTAACCATTTTAAAGTGAATGATTCAGCGGCATTTAGTCCATTTACAGTGTTATGCAACTACCAGCTCTATATCATTCCAAAGCATTTTTATCACC